AGCCATTTTAATCTAGATTAATCTAATTTTGAAATTAAATTAAATTAGTTTAAATATACGTTTTTTTCTAGATGGCTCCACTAACAAGCAAAGAAAAGACTGCTCGCTACAGGCAGCGGAAAATGCTGTTCAATGTGTCTGCAGAATGCTGCTATGTTCAACTGTTAAATGAAAATAGCAATGAAAAGGCAAACATTGTACTGTATGTTTAAGTGATTAATAAAATGAAAATGAAAAAGGAAAATGCTGTTTAATGTTATGTCCAAGCGTTTAATGCATTAGTATTGAAAATTTTAATATGATGGTTATGTGTCAAATGAAATAGTGAGGAAACTGTTAATGTTATGAAATGTGTCAAATGAAATGGATATGCTGATTCTTCATAAAATTTCAGTAAATGTGTTTTAACTATCAAAATCATTGAATAGTCTTAATTGTCTGCTGTTTTTCATCATGTGGGGCGACCACTTGTCATGTGGGGTAACCAACCATATTCAATTCTGTAGTAAATTCAAAAAATAATGTCTGTCCATTTTGGTTGAAATATAATTCATTGGTATAACATCAATAAGTGGATACTATATCTACACATTTTAAATCAGTTTTATGGATTATATGAGTAAAAAAAAAAATCTAATTGCTTTATGAGGGTGACACTGCCATTATAGATAAAAATGTATTTAACATCATTTGCAATAAATGAAAGGACACATGAGTATATCTTTCTTAAACAGTTCAATTAATTTCTGATACTTCTTAAAATATAACTTATGTAAAGGAAATCTATTAATTTTAAGAGAAATTACGGTCGCCCCAAATGACTTTTTTAAGGTCATTTCCTATTTCATTTGAGTTTAAAAGCACTAAAATATCTTTGTTTGAAGTTTTCACACACATGCATGTGTAGACTACACTCCAAATGTTTAGAAAATAGACAAATATATTATTATTTCAAGTATTTTAAAAATGGGCCTCTCAAAGGCCTTATACGTCATTGACCCTAACCTGTCTTCTGCCTGTTGGACCATACAAAACTTTGGGAGTTGAGTCGGCGCATTTCCACAGAAAATAAAATTATGTTCATTTGTACATCCGAACACTGAGCAAACGCCATGCTTCGCTCATTGGCAGGCCATGATATTTCTCGAGGAAAAACTCAAATCTCAAAGTTATTTCTCTAGGAAAAAATAAAACCGCGCCTGCGCGTGTTCGTACTTCCTGTTCCTAGCTCGTTTGGTTTTCTCACGGTCTCTGGGCGGGCAAAGCAGAGAAAGGGGAGTAAACTTTCCCATATATGACGTTATATAGGGGGAGATTCTAGATCAGCGCGTCTGAGATGCAGACGGATGCAGAGAAGAGAAAAATAGCCAAAGCTCAGTTTACAACGATTGAAAATTCTAGACACGAGGGGACCAAATACAGTCTAGGAGAACTCATATTAATGTTAAAAAACCTCAGAAAATGAACATTTCATGTCAGGGGACCTTTAGGGCCAATCCCAATTCTACCCCTTACCCATTCACTTTCCCCTTCCCCTCCGTTTTGCGCGTCCACGTGAAGGGGTAGGGCTGTCCCAATTCTCTTTTGGTTGGAGGGGGAGGGCTAGGGTGAAGCGCCAGATAGCCCTTCAAACGAAGATTTTTCGGGAGCACACTTCAAACGAAGGGGTATGAGAAGCGTCACTGCTAACCCAGGCTGGCTGCCCAAGCGACAAAGGAGACCCATAAATTTAAGTATTTGTGGCTTTAATAAGTATTATAACGACAAATAATGATTTGCTTTATGTTACATTCAATATTGTAATAAAAAAAATAAATAAAATAAAAATAAAAATAAAAAAAAAAATCGCTAAAATTACTGTAGTTTGCTAACGATAGTCCCGCAACATATTTTCGTCGTCTCCGTTTTTTCCTGCGAACTTCACAAGATGCAAGAAAATAGCTGTAACCCACGCAACTGAGATAACTGCAGCTGTCGACGGGATCTTGGAAGTTGTGATAAACATCGGCGCATCTCCTGTGACGTAGGCGCTAGCGACGACTTATAATGACGTTTAACGGAGGCGTAGTGGTGTCCCATTTCTTAGGGGAATATTTTCACCCCTACGCATTGCCACTCTGTTTCAAGGGTCAAGGGGAAGGCGAAGGGGTAGGGCTAGGGGAAAGGGAAGGGGTAAGGGGTAGAATTGGGATTGGCCCTTAATCTGACAGCGACAGGGCTGAGCACCTTTAGGACGCGAAAAGGCCCGACAAATTTAGGAGCCAACTTACGAGAAGGAAACTGGAGCGGGAGATTGCGAGTGGACAACCAGACTCTCTGGCTGGCTCTTTACACAGACTGATCTCATGAAGTAGCGTGTGTATGACACGCCAATTCGTATTTCCATTTTTGGCGTGCTATCATGACGCATAATCGCCTTTCAGCGTGTTTATGAACGCCGTTGACTTAACGCTATATAAATATATGACTTACCTCAACCCCGTCCCTAAACCTAACCGTCACTGGGGTTAATGGCATTTATGACTGGAGATTTGACTGCGTGTACAGACACGCGGAATGACGCGGACGTTAATGGCGTAGACATATATGCATACACGCGGATAGCTCAAAATGCGTAGAGATAACACGCCACCTGACTCGAATGTGGCGTATATGTTTACGCAAAAGTCATGTTGCTTTACACGTAAACGATTGGCAGACCTCCGAGTGCGAGCACGAGTCTTACATAGGACAGACCTAACCCTTCTCCAGGTTAGCTCGTTGAATGAAAACTTTGATGGAGGGAACGTTGTTATCAGTCTCCTGCGAGGCAAAGAGCCAAGCCAACACTTGGTAACCAAGCCAACACTGAAACGGCGATAAACCGGTAGCGGAGGAAGGAGCGGCGTTATGGGCATACTCAGCCCAGGGAAGCTGTTCAGACCAAGAAGCAGGATTGCGAAAAGCGAGACAGCGTAGGATGTGACCAACGATCTGATTGGTACGGTCAGCTTGGCCGTTGGTCTGTGGATAAAAACCGGACGAGAGACTGGCAGAGGCCCCGATCAGTCGACAAAACTCCTTCCAAAAAATGGAGGAGAATTGAGGACCCCTATCAGAAACAACGTCAGACGGAAGACCACTAAAGCAGGTAAATTCCACTCACAGGAAGTGGACAATGTGCGAAATTCAACAGAAAAGTCTGCAACAGATCTCTTGCCTTGACGAAGTGAGGAGAGGAGTCGATCGACTCGAGGCTTCAGCACCATAGACAGAGCGGCCGAAGGCTTGCTATGGTAGTCGGTGTTACCGGTGTTCAGTCGCAACACCGGTTTCATGACATGCCCACCGCGGCGTTGGCATGTGAAAAAAAAAAGTTTAAAGCCTTAAAAATATTGAACGCAATTACACAGTAGTCGTTAAATCTTGTCTATTAACACACACACGACCCACAGAAAAGACGCGCGTCGGTATCGAGTTCTCTTTCGAGCTTGAACAAACCATAACACACAAATTATGCCAAAATGTCCATAAGAGCAGTCTTAAACGAACATAGAGATTTGTGAGAAAAAGGGATGCGTGTCAGATCGCGTCTCTCAGCATCGGCTGTCCAAATTCTCTCACTCGTTTTTACTTACTCCTTCTCATTCACTCCTTCAAGTGAACAGTATTAGTGTACTAACGTAGGGAATAGGCCTAGTGAATGAGGGTTTAGGGGGCGATTTTGCATTCAACCCATGTTCTCAAGCAGTGAAAAATAGAGGACACTGACAACGCGTTGACAGACAGGACCGAGCAGGTAATATTTAATATGAAACAGTCTCAACTTTCAAATTTGGTCAGTCAAAGAAAATCAAACAATAAATAGGCCTACCGTTTTGTGGCTCTTTAATGTGTCGTGACAGATTGCCTGATAAAGCCAAGTTCCACCGACGTTAATCTCTCCTGACTGCTTTGTCGGACAAAAATGGTGGATTTTCAGATGGTCAAATCACATGTCTGTCAATCAAAAGTTAGTTTCGTTTTCAAACTAGCGCATATTGAGGGCACAATAACAAAACAGTTCTTTCCCGCACCATCGCACCGTTATGTATGACCGTGAAAACGTGCGCATTTTACGTTTGCCTTTAAATTAGCGATTTAAAAGCCCCCGCCGGTGACACTGGTATTACCGGTGTTGTCACACGTCGATTAACCGGTGAGAAAAATATCCTCACCGTCACAACCCTACCGAAGACGCGTAACATCTCCTCCTTGAAATAGTCATAACAACACTATCTCACGACCAATTCGCACGAATTCGACGCATGCTTAAAAAGTGGCTAATTCGTGCTAATTCGTACGACCTCACTCGTACTAATTCGTACGATTTGTCTAAACCCACGTGATGGTTAGGTTTAGGGGTGGGGTAAGGGGTTCCTACGAATTCATACGAATTGGCCAATTCGTAAAATATGTATACGATTTAGCAAAATCGTATTAATTCGTACGAGTGAGGTCGTATGAATTGTTACGAATTAGCCACTTTTTAATCATTCGTCGAATTTGTACCAGCGCTCCAGACAGCGGTCCCCCATGCCCGAGCTCGTCCAGAGAGGGAAATGATGAAGGCGATTCGGGAACATTCCTTGGCATAGGTGGTCGACTGCAAGGAAAAAAACAACCTCACACTGTGTCAGGAAAGATCGGCACTCGGCCGGCTCACCATCGTAACAGGGCGGATTGTTGACCCTGGGCTCTGGGAATGCGTCGAACTTGGAAAGGGGCGCTTCAACGCGGAGATGCAAAACCTGTTGAAGGAGCCCGACTCATGACAGTATAATAACAATTCTTTATGAAAAAAAATTATATAAAATATAATTTAACTCATTTGTACTGTAGGTATAAGTTGTCTCATTTAATAGGCTACACCATGGTGACACACTTGTCTCAAATAGTATTACTTTACCAGATACTCAATATGTCCAACGCTGAGTAATTTTTCCCTGTTGCTCCTACACAAAATGTAACCACTGCTTACATCTGTTAGTAAATGAGTTTTTAATTCTTTCCGAAATTCAACTGTGATTATCATTTAGAATAAATAAAAAAAAATCATATTTTATTTTACACATGGAGGAATGATACAGACACTGAAGACGCCTGAGAGCCGAAAATGTGTGAATACACATGATCTTTTCAAACATGTTAATAACATCCGCCGACAAACTATATGAAACCATTACATTTATACAAGACATAAGTTTGAAGTTTAACATTCCAGCAATCAAAAAATTAAAGGATTAAGTTTTTCATTCCTTGCCACAGTCATCTTTGTCTGGCACACTCGGGGACTGAAGATTTTTAGGATTACGTACTGTGTATTACGGCTTTTCTTAAACTGCTTAAGGGTAATATGACCGAAATAGCAGTAATAAAAATCATCAATTTGTAAATAGGCTTGTTAGTACACCAAAATGATATAAATTGTACAAAACCTTACCGATTTATAATCACAGCATAAATGAACAACCCCAACAACTATATACAATTTAATTTAATACAATCACAGTCACATGATCTATATGAAGCTATCTTCCCCCATAAACCATTCTCCCCCTAAAGTATTACATTTAGACAAAATATCAACATCGTAAAACTATGTAAAGCTCCTTAGAAAAACACTATACAAACAAATTGACACACAAATATTATGATTGGAATGCATGTAAATGAGTTTAGAGTTGTTTGGTGTCTTTACTTCCATCCATAGCTCCAGTTAAAGATGCTACTTTTGCAGTTATCTCCTCATTCGTTCATAAATCAAGGGCCTTAGAAATGGAGAGACAAGAGATAAATCATGAAATATGAACAAGCTGACCGGTAGGATTGGATCAACATTTAGTATGCAATGTTTACTGGCTTGTGTCATATTACAGTTCTCATTTTTTTATTGGTGCTTTCTTAGTGTTAATCTCAGTCTTAACTTACCTGTCCAAAGTCTCCATAGAAAAGCCCTGGTCATTCAGATGAATCTTCACCTCCTCGTTGCAGCGATACTGGCGGTCATAATAATCTGTGCATTTTTGAGATGGTTTATTGCAAATGGACCTTCATAAACAGAAAGCACAAAGCATAGCATCAGTACAGAGTCTTTAACAAACCTGATATTTGCTTTTAATTGAATGTAATAATTGTTTATAACAATAATTTATGTGAGAAACAGACCAACATTTAATTATCGAATTGTTAATGAACTAGAAAATCTAGGGTGGCTGTAAAGAAAACTTAATTTATGAACAACAATTCTCAAACTTTTGATTTGCTCCTTACAAAAAGGTATTATGTGACTTCAGAAAACATGGAATATGTTGTTCTTTTCTGGTGTTTTTGTTCCTTTTTAAAGCTTGTAAGCTGAACTCTCCATGAAATTGCATGCAAAAATCTTTATAATGATAAACCAATACAAACCCGTTAATTGTCATTATCACACAACTTGGTCTTGTGTTTGAGCTCTTCAAGATCTCGATTCCATCCTCCTGTAATAAACCAGCATCTACCCTACATGTGGAAACACATTATACAGATAAAATGATTAAGATTGATAATGGCATTCTTCACATTTGCTTATTACACATTCATTTAAACTTTTCCATAACAGTTTAAACAGATGAAGGCCATGAACTACAGATGGGTGGATTCAATTGCTTTGTAAGGTTATCTGATAGCAAGAGCATTGCAAAATTGCTAAACTGACAACATAAATACATAAATAATAAATAGAAATAATATATTAATGAAATAATAATAAATTAATATCAATCAATCAAATTTTATTTGTAGAGCGCCTTACAACAGCCAAAAGGAGCACAAGGCGCTTTCCAGTAAAAACATCAAAAGACAACAATAAAACATAGGTGTACATAAAAAGTGAATATTATTTTTTTTAAAATACAATAGTTCCTTTGTTTACTACTTAACCATTTTGTATTTTAATGTTTTAAAAGGCTAGCTCACTAAAATAATGAAACTGCCATGTCATTCATAACCTGTGTCTTTCTTTCTTCTGCAGAACACAGAAGAAGATATTTTTTAATAATGCTGGTAATAAAACAGTTTTGGTTCATTGTATTTCTTGTCCAAACAATGGAAGTCAATGGGATCTGAAAGTGTGTGTTAAACAAGCATTCTTTAAAATAACTTATTTAGTGTTCCTCAGAGGAAAGCAGGTTTGGAATAACATGAGGACGAGTAAATGATGACAGCATTTCCCACTTTGGATGAACTATCCATTTGAATATTAGATACTTAGTTCTCATGAACAGACAAATTCACATAGAAGCAGGACAGAGGAGATTTCAGATGTTTCTCACATGAGTACGGTTAGACTGCGGCACTTCTGGCTCATCTGGAGGATCCAAACTGACCACATCTCAGTTAGACAATTCACTTTAATTTTCATCTTTTTCAGGTTAGAGAAGGAAGAGAGAAATGACAGTAATACATCTGAATCCCTTTGGTGAATTATCTGAAAAAGTCTGGTCCAGTCGATGTTGATTATCACTGAGTGTTGAAAGGTGAGACTGAATGATCGCAAATCCGGATGGTGAAGCAGGAGAATCTCTATGCAGATACTATTAAAAAAAGTAAAATAAATAATATTTAAGTTGTCGTTGTGTCTAAAAGTCAATAATTTCTTTCAATATCTTTTTGTGAAATTCATACATTTTTAAAAAAATTATGATTAATTGGTGGTTTGTTGTAGCCTGGTTCTACCAGACTCTCGTACATACATTTCATTTGTACAGAGAGTCTGGCCTCCCTCAATTAAACGTTTCCTTCCTTGTAGGCGGGTTCACTATTAAAGTTCAAATCTATTGGATCTGCCCAGAGTCACTCACGATTTGCCATAGCCAATCGCTAATGTGTGGTCGTGAGTGACGTATGTCATGCGCCGAAACAACCATAGACAGTAAAAGAAACAAGTCCGAACTCCGAATGATCAGAGGATTAAATTTACAATAGGATTTCAGTCAACGAGAGCTGCAGGTTTTGTTAATCTAGGAACAATTATTAATTCGAAATGTATATTTGACATGAAGGACAGTGATTATTCAGTCAATGGTGGAAGCTGTGTCTAATCATTACAAATACGCCGCTGTGGTCGTTTCTGATCTGCCGCAAATGCTGTAGCAGCTACAGTGAATGATCAGTCTGTCTCTATCTGCAGATGTGTAATAAACAACAATTTTTCATATTACGTCTTATTGTTTCTTAATTACCTTAATTATGGTCTTCAAAGTATGTGTTTGTACATTTTTATATGGCATTTAGTTGTTGTTTTTTATTCAAACAAATTAACCATTGACATCTAAAACTGAAAATCAAATATAGTCTCCAAAGTATGGGTTTTCAAATTTTTATTTATGACAATTATTATTATTTTTTTTAATCACAACCAATTTGTATGATTTACAACATGTAAAACTGACACACCTCCTGCACGAGTACACAAAGGGGCTCAAATGTTCATCACAAGAATCTGTAAATTTACTGTTGGGAATATGAGCGACTGACATGACTCCTGAGCGGATCTTCAACAATAGTTTAGCAGCCAGGACTCGGGGCTTCCGAACACCGCGAACACCAGGCTAAAGTCCAAAATGTCACGGTCATTGTGCACGAGCTGCCCAGCACAAACTTCCAACCTTTCTGCCTCCTTCACTTGGTCCTCCGTTGTGCAACAAGAGGTGAGACGACAACAATCCGGCTTTAAATTCTGTATATTCGGCAGTTTCTTTTCCAACAACGGACCGAATAGCTTTTCTCACGTCTTTCTCCGCTGCCATTACTGCACTCAAACTGACGCACTACATCAACGTCATCGTTCTCAGCCACTCCCTCTATTCGCTGATTGGTCCTACAAAAAATTGATTTCTGGAAACCTAAGGATATGGAGCGGTCCCAGACGCAGTACTGAAGGAAAATGAAATTGAGCGGAAGTGCGTAGGCGGGCGCAGCCAGGCTAGGTTTGTTGGGCACCAGCCAATGTTTGTGTCACGAATGGAACAGGAGTCAGACAGGTGGTAAGTGAAATAGTGTTTATTTACGGGGTTGCGGATCCAGACAAAGATATGGTGAGTATTCAAACAATTGATAATCAGATGGGAATCAGATGATAATCAGTCTTTGTTATAGATGCTGATGGAGAATCACTTGGAATAGACTGAAGAGGGTACACGAAGTAAGGGGTGATGAAGGTCGTTGAATGGATCTAAGGTAAGTAGCAGGTAAGTAGCATGAGTGAGTCTGTGTGTCATGTAGAGACGAGACCAGACAATGAGTGTGTGAAGGGGAGTCGAAGATAAAGGGAGGTGGAATGATGAGGTGCAGGTGATGGTGATTAGAATTCGGGAGACAATGAACGTGTGGGAGGAGTGAATGAAGCTGGTGGAATCCTGACAGTTTGCATCATTAGCAATAGTCAAAAAAGATAAAAGCGTGTACCTTATTTTTTTAAACTGTTTTAGGTGACCAATTTAGTTGCATTATTACTATTACAATTATAATCTATTAGATTGCGGTGACCAAGTATGCCAGATAAACGGGAAAACAAGATGATGATATAATTGGTTATCCAAATTCTAATAATCATAGAAATATTTTTGGTTATCATGAGAGAAAAAACTATTTAATGAAAAGAAAAAAGTCACTTGTACTTCACCTGGACGGCTCTTTGGTGATTGACAGATCAAGCAAGTGAGGATTATGGATATACTTTGTTTGGCAGGTGAATACACTAACACTGCAAAACAAAGCACAGAAAAAATATGCATGAACCTTAAAGTTAAACAAAAGCACATTAAAGGATGATAGCATGTGTGCATAAAACACATCAAATGTATAATATATATTTTAAAACATTACCGCTGTGAGCTCAGGGTCTGTCCTCTCGTGAGAGTGTTGATCAGTTTAACGAAATCAGAGTCTGATGGATCTTCTACAATCAATCTTAAGAATCAAATACAGAACATCACTGTACAGACTAATTAAGTTTAACTTGCAATAGCTAATTAGAGATTAAATATTAATTACATCCACCAAATGCATTTACCTTGCTTCTTTAAACTTGTCAAGTACAGGCAAAATCATAGACAAATCTTCCGATGTTAAATACAAATTAGAAATTTCTTCAATTCTCTGACAGCACTGACAGCAGTACAGCAGGGCACAGATGTCTGTTATTCTGAGGGATTGCCCATCTAGTTTCATCTTTTTCCAGGATCCCATTGCTTCTTTCACAAAGTCTCCTTCATGAAGTTCATAGAGACAGTGAAGAACAAAAAATACTGCTGTCGAAGACAAGGAACAACCTTTAATCTTTTCCAAAATCCATTCTTTCAGATGAGCCTGTGTTTTTGGACGAATTAACAGACCATGTTTTTCAAGTGTGAGTCTCACGTCCTTATTTAACAAACCAAATACAAATTGCATCACAGCTGCAAAACGTGGTTTTGAAGAACTATCCATTAAAAGTGACCTTGTAAGTTTCCTCAGGGACTTTTCTTCATCCAGAAGGACATAGTACAGAGCAGTGAAGAACTCCTGAAAGCTGAGATGCATGAAACTGAACATCGTCTCCTGGTGGATTCGTCTCTTAAACAGGAACTTGCACAAGAATGGATTTCCAGTCGGGTCTGAAATGGTTTCATTCACACTTTTCTCATCCAGCAGGACTTGCTGTTCCTGCATCCCTCTCTCTGCCAGCTGACCCAGACTCCTCAGCAGGGTCGGGACGGACTGACTCAAACCCTGGCAGTGATGCTCCAGAAGAGTGCACACAAAGTCCACGTAGATGGAGGTGGTGGTTTCCAGTCCACTTGTCTTATCTGCTCCATATGTGAATCGCTCCTGGATAGTTGTGCAGATGATCCAGCAGACGACAGGGATTGAGCAGGCAGTGATGAGGGTTTCATTTGCCTTCACATATGTATAAGCCTTCCTGAAACGTTCCTCATTTTGAAAAAACTTCTGGAAGTACTCCTCTACTCCCTTTTCTGAAAATCCCACAATCTCAGAGAAACGCTGAGGTCCGTTGAGCAGTTTACTGAGTGTGTCCGTAGCTGTAGATCTGGAGGAGACCAGGAGGAAAGACTTTAGCAGGATTCGACGCCTCAGCAGGGCACAAAGAGTGTCCACAGGTCGGGCTTTCTGAAGCAGATCAGTGTGTGCTGACGTGTCATTATTAATGTCCTGTGGGAGTTTCAGCTCATCAAATCCATCAATGACCACAAGCACCTTCTCTGGCGACTGCTGTAAAATCTGTGAGATCTCATGTGATGTTAAACTACAACTGCAGCTCAAGATCTCCACCAAACTCTTCTCACCAGGAATGCGATTTATTTCTTTACACTTTAAGTGGAACACAATATCAAACCGCTCTTTGTAGAGGTCACCAGATGCCCAGTCCATCATGATCTTCTGCACAGTGAAAGATTTCCCGTTTCCAGAGTTTCCCTGCAGTATCACAGAACTGGGACTGATCCCGTGGTCATCTGGGTCGAACAGAGAGTTGAGATGGAGAGAGTCTCCACTGCTCCTGGAGCCGAGGACCTGCTGGAAGCGCTCTCCACTGGAGCGGATCTCTTCTTCTCGCTCTATTTGATCTCTATTTTTCTGAAGTATCAGAGGTTGTGTGAAACGCTCAGACAACAGCACACGTTCACCAGGCAGTGAGTTATACTCAGTCACAAACTGATACTCGCTGTAGATCCGCTTCATATATTTGTGAATCACTGGGCTGATTTCTGTAAAAATGGCCAATGTTCAAAGAGTTAGTTTTTTTTCTGATTCTAATACAGCAAGACATTCCAGAGCAGACAAATACCAACTAATTTACTAGGTCGATGGAGTGCAAAATGTAAAACTTATAATCATAAAATTCATCGGTCACCTGAGGAATGTGTGTGATGTCCAGTGGAGCCTGTAGAACATTATACAAACTTGAAACATTACTTGATTTATTACTATTTATTATATATATATAGGCATCTACCTATCTATCTATCCATCTATCTATCACTGAAAAAAATGTATTCAATCATCCAACTGCCCTCAACTGCACATCATTGAAAACACTAAAAGTACTCAAAGTCTATCCATAAGTGGAAATTTGCTATTTTTGCATTTTTTAGAGCAATTTTCTACTTCCGGTTTGAAAAGCAAAAAGTCCCAGACTCTCAGCTGATCCACATCTACCTATTGGAATACGACGTTAGTGTGCTCTTACCCAAGTCGCTAAACAGAGATGGCTCATTGATTTCCAGTCTAGAATAAAAGGCAGATTTAACCTTGTCTCCTCCAGAGTTCAACACTTCATATAACTCTCTCATTTTCTCCTGGTTAGTTTTTTCTGCTTTGATCTTGCAGAACGGCTCCCAGTGCAGCATGCCACAGGACTGCAACTCATCCGCTATCGCCATCACCATCTGTACTCTCTGGACAAGTTCCGGCCAGTGTTTGTCCACAAACCGAGCACCTGGTGGAGAGATAATAATATGATAACTGCTAACAAGGAAGATCGTGATTTCATTAGATTCAAGAACGGCATATTCTATAGTGTAGCAAGTACTTATTTGAGCCACTTCACTTTTAATCAGGGTAATGCAGATTATCTTTCATATGACTATCTCTGCTTTTACTGTGGTAACTACTTACGCTCTGAGTCTTGGTCCATGGTGTCTTATAAGTGTCAATGACGTGTTGTAGTGAGCGGTCTTAAGTTTTCCTCTAGGAAATGAAACATAATGAACATAGTATGAGATGGTTGAAGAGCTTTTGTGACCCATGGTTAAAAATCACACTATGGGTTTGCAGTAAACTGCGCATTGTAAGTGGCATTGCAAGTTCCTGGCCCTGATCAGAGCCCAGAGCAGGTTTCAACCCCTGAACAAAGCCCAGTGCATGCTCCAACTCCTGACCAGAGCCCAGTGCGTGCTCCAACCCCTGACCAGAGCCCAGTGCATACTCCAACCCGTGACCAGAGCCCAGTGCACGCTCCAACCCCTGACCAGAGCCCAGTGCATACTCCAACCCGTGACCAGAGCCCAGTGCACGCTCCAACTCCTGACCAGAGCCCAGTGCATGCTCCAATCCCTGACCAGAGCCCAGTGCAGGCTCCAGCCCCTGACCATAGCCCCAGTGCATGCTCCAACTCCTGACCAGAGCCCAGTGCACGCTCCAACTCCTGACCAGAGCCCAGTGCAGGCTCCAACTCCTGACCAGAGCCCAGTGCAGGCTCCAACACCTGACCAGAGCCCAGTGCATGCTCCAACACCTGACCAGAGCCCAGTGCAGGCTCCAACTCCTGACCAGAGCCCAGTGCAGGCTCCAACACCTGACCAGAGCCCAGTGCATGCTCCAACTCCTGACCAGAGCCCAGTGCATGCTCCAACCCCTGACCAGAGCCCAGTGCATGCTCCAACCCCTGACCAGAGCCCAGTGCATACTCCAACCCCTGACCAGAGCCCAGTGCAGGCTCCAACTCCTGACCATAGCCCCAGTGCAGGCTCCAACACCTGACCAGAGCCCAGTGCATGCTCCAACCCCTGACCAGAGCCCAGTGCATACTCCAACCCCTGACCAGAGCCCAGTGCAGGCTCCAACTCCTGACCATAGCCCCAGTGCAGGCTCCAACACCTGACCAGAGCCCAGTGCATGCTCCAACACCTGACCAAAGCCCAGTGCACGCTCCAACTCCTGACCAGAGGCCAGTGCATGCTCCAACTCCTGACCAGAGCCTAGTGCATGCTCCAACACCTGACCAGAGCCCAGTGCAGGCTCCAACTCCTGACCAGAGCCCAGTGCAGGCTCCAGCCCCTGACCATAGCCCCAGTGCAGGCTCCAACACCTGACCAGAGCCCAGTGCATGCTCCAACACCTGACCAGAGCCCAGTGCATACTCCAATCCCTGACCAGAGCCCAGTGCATACTCCAATCCCTGACCAGAGCCAAGTGCATGCTCCAACCCCTGACCAGAGCCCAGTGCATGCTCCAACCCCTGACCAGAGCCCAGTGCAGGCTCAAGTCCCTGACCACTGCCCAGTGCATACTCCAACCCCTGACCAGAGCCCAGTGCATGCTCCAACCCCTGACCAGAGCCAAGTGCATGCTCCAACCCCTGACCAGAGCCCAGTGCATGCTCCAACCCCTGACCAGAGCCCAGTGCATGCTCCAACCCCTGACCAGAGCCCAGTGCATGCTCCAACTCCTGACCAGAGCCAAGTGCATGCTCCAACCCCTGACCAGAGCCCAGTGCATGCTCCAACCCCTGACCAGAGCCCAGTGCATGCTCCAACCCCTGACCAGAGCCCAGTGCATGCTCCAACTCCTGACCAGAGCCAAGTGCATGCTCCAACCCCTGACCAGAGCCCAGTGCATGCTTCAAACCCTGACCAGTGCCCAGTGCATAGTCCAACTCCTGACCAGAGCCCAGTGCATGCTCCAACTCCTGACCAGAGCCCAGTGCATAGTCCAACTCCTGACCAGAGCCCAGTGCATACTCCAACTCCTGACCAGAGCCCAGTGCATGCTCCAACTCCTGACCAGAGCCCAGTGCATAGTCCAACTCCTGACCAGAGCCAAGTGCATGCTCCAACCCCTGACCAGAGCCCAGTGCATACTCCAACTCCTGACCAGAGCCAAGTGCATGCTCCAACCCCTGACCAGAGCCCAGTGCATCCTTCAAACCCTGACCAGTGCCCAGTGCATAGTCCAACTCCTGACCAGAGCCCAGTGCATAGTCCAACTCCTGACCAGAGCCCAGTGCAGGCTCCAATCCCTGACCAGAGCCCAGTGCATACTCCAACTCCTGACCAGAGCCCAGTGCATGCTCCAACCCCTGACCAGAGCCCAGTGCATACTCCAACTCCTGACCAGAGCCAAGTGCATGCTCCAGCCCCTGACCAGAGCCCAGTGCAGGCTCAAGTCCCTGACCACTGCCCAGTGCATACTCCAACCCCTGACCAGAGCCCAGTGCATACTCCAACCCCTGACCAGAGCCCAGTGCATACTCCAACCCCTGACCAGAGGCCAGTGCATACTCCAACCCCTGACCAGAGTTCTGTGCAGGCTCCAATCCCTGACCAAAGCCCAGTGCATACTCCAACTCCTGACCAGAGCCCAGTGCAGGCTCCAGCCCCTGACCAGAGCCCAGTGCATGCTCCAAACCCTGACCAGAGCCCAGTGCAGGCTCCAGCCCCTGACCAGAGGCCAGTGCATACTCCAACCCCTGACCAGAGCCCAGTGCATACTCCAACTCCTGACCAGAGCCCAGTGCAGGCTCCAGCCCCTGACCAGAGCCCAGTGCATGCTCCAAACCCTGACCAGAGCCCAGTGCAGGCTCCAGCCCCTGACCAGAGCCCAGTGCATACTCCAACCCCTGACCAGAGGCCAGTGCATGCTCCAACCCCTGACCAGAGCCCAGTGCAGGCTCCAGCCCCTGACCAGAGCCCAGTGCATACTCCAACCCCTGACCAGAGGCCAGTGCATGCTCCAACCCCTGACCAGAGCCCAGTGCAGGCTCCAGCCCCTGACCAGAGCCCAGTGCATACTCCAACCCCTGACCAGAGGCCAGTGCATGCTCCAAACCCTGACCAGAGCCCAGTGCAGGCTCCAGCCCCTGACCAGAGCCCAGTGCATACTCCAACCCCTGACCAGAGGCCAGTGCATGCTCCAACCCCTGACCAGAGCCCAGTGCAGGCTCCAGCCCCTGACCATAGCCCCAGTGCAGGCTCCAACCCCTGACCAGAGCCCAGTGCAGGCTCCAACCCCTGACCAGAGCCCAGTGCAGGCTCCAGCCCCTGAGTAGAGTCCAGTGCAGGCTCCAACCCCTGACCAGAGCCCAGTGCATACTCCAACCCCTGACCAGAGCCCAGTGCAGGCTCCAGCCCCTGAGTAGAGTCCAGTGCATGCTCCAGTCCCTGACCAGAGTTCAGTGCAAGTTTACTGCAATGCTTTTTTTCAGTTAGTTGGTCAGAACAAAAGTGGATGTTACTTGTTCAGGTTCAGGTTTTAGGTTGAAAATGTGAATATGTTCGCCATACTTCCAAAAAGTTGAATCTGTGATTGCAAATATTTGCTTTATACTTTACACTAACAAATATTTATTACAGATAATGCTGAATAATCCCTAATCTGATTTGTCTCCTACTCAGGAATAATTTCATCACAAACTCTGTTTCTCACACACACACACACACACACACACACACACACACACACACACACACACACACACACACACACACACACACACACACACAAGCCATCTCCTTCTCCTCCTCATACAATTCTGCAGAATAGATTTTCAAAAATATAAATATTTTTGATTCAGGAGTTGTACAGTTGAGTGCAGCACTGCTAGGTGTTGTATCTTACACTGCAGATGAAACCCCCTGACTACAGTAGATGATTTGCTGTCTTGATAGTTTTATATTAATAATGTTCTGTTCTTCTGTTTTTCCCCTTTGTTTTACAAATATGACCTAATATATGTTGCATTACTTAAAATAAATGTTTAAATAGCATTTATTTTTTTTTGTACTGTGCTATATTTTTATGCTACAAGTGGTTTTAAAAAATACTCTGCACATTAATGAGCCAATATGTTATTTTTTCTTTTAATGAATCAGCCGTATCGGTTGAAATGATTCGCTCATTAACAGTGACTCGCTGCCCCCTACTGGCGGTTTCAATTTCACATTTAAAGTGTCTTTTCTTGTTTTAAATCATTTAAAAAATCAATATTCTTAAAGCCACAATATGTATTTTTTCTGCTTTAAAAATAGCAAAAATAACTGTATCTATGTTATATATTTCTATTAGATGTGTACTTACATTATCCCGACAGTTTCCACCAACTTTCAAATACGGAGAAATTTATAGTTTAATTCGAAGACACGGGACGTTTCTTTATTTCCGTATCGTCGCCCGTATATGGCGTCATATAACCTTTGACTCCTCTATTTTCTCTAACTTCCTTGCGGAACCCGGCGAAACCGCCAAACACAAAGGGGAACACTGGACTACCGCCAATAAAGCAAAGAAAATGACGAAGAAAAAAAGTAGTACGTATTTTTATGTGTATAAATCACGTGCCCGCTCACGAGCGCTCACTCTTAACAGACACTGTTCCCGGTGATGCTCGCGCATAAAGCGCTCCCCGTTCACAGTAACCGGGTCGTCTCATTCAAAACTGATTCAAAACAGCCAACTGTTGCTGTTAGCGAGCCGCGCACATTGAATACTCATATGAGTCAGGCTCCGAATGTACGTGCCCGCTTCAGCGCGCTCATGCTTAAATAAACGCCTCACCTCCGGCGCCGCGCACTCACTACATTCCCTTTAGCCTTTAGCACATAGTGGATGCATAACGCAAACCCAGTCAAACGTTTGACTGTAGTATCTTATGTGCTTTATAATCCGGTGCGCCCTATATATGAAAAATGTCCTAAAATAGGTCATTCATTGAAGTAGCGTAATATAAATATTTATATTCATCTGTATTATAGTTATGGACCACGATTACGCTTTGCCTGCACGTTCTGCTTCTACAGCCAGCTCAGTAAAGCTCAAACGTGCGGGTGAAAAATATGACCCGAGAAGGGTTTGGGACAGGAGAAAAAGCATGACACAGGTAAACATTGGGGTTGCATTTAAAGCTTCTTGACAAGCTAAATCTATAGAGAGATGCCGTATATCCGTAATTCCGTATATTTTGTGAAATGATGATGTCATGCCATGAGCTGAGCTGGTTGTCATTGACAGCGACAACAACTCCCGTGAGCCCACGCTCTTTCCCGACGTCATCAAAGTACGTCTTTTGTTATTATTTTAAATAAGTGACCCCTGGTGGCCAAAAATCGCATACTGTACGTTTAAATATCTGAAAATATCAATATTGCAAAGATTACTTTTGTTGATTTGATTGGTAAGAGCCCCCCTTATTTTTATAATTGAATGTGATTAAATTAATGAGATTGACACAATTGAATTAGGTTTAAAAATTGGCTTTAAAGGTAAAATGCCCATATCAGGTAAAAATCAATTGAAACATATTGGAAAAAATGAAGAATATCAAAAACTTTAGCAGTCTCTGTCCACGACAGTCCTAAACCTGACAAAGTACCAACAGAATAAACATCCTCAGCAAAATATTGTCCAATAATCGTTATCGAGAAAATCTCAGAAAATATCATGTTATCATTTTTTTTTCAATATCGCACACCCATATTTACAATTGTTTTTAACTGTTTTCATTTTATAGTTGTTGTTTTGATCTGTAAGTGTGTGATTTTGTAACTACTGCCAATGGGCTCTATGCACGGCGGTATTTCCGGCAGAGCCGGCTTCAGACCGCTTTTAGCAGGGGGGCATTTATTTTCAATGGGTGGGCACTTGGTATGGGGACTTTTTTTCCGATATCAGATATCCTATATTTATTATTGCTACTGCCTTTTCTGTTAGCTATTAACATGAAGTAATGCAACCCACACAATAAACATTACACATTGTTGCAAGACGAGCGACTCTTAAGAAATTTGATCAAGGGTTAAATAGGCCTATACAAAAAAAAATTGCAAGACCGACTCTGACCGCAGCTTTATAATAGCAAAGCTAACGAACATGCACATAGTCTCTCACTGACAGAATAGCCGTTTATATGCTATCTCAATGGCGGAAGTGAGAAAAAAAAAAAAGCTAAGTTACTCATCTTTATTCTGCTATGTTCTAACATAAGCATTTATTCGTAGCCTTAAAAAAGCATCATGTAGTTACCTTTATCAAATAAAACCTTTAACACATTTAACAAATAAAAAACACCCACAACATACACAGATATTATTCTACAATTTCCATTTACAAGAAAATATAGGCTTAAACACCTGTTTCTCCACGGCGGGAGTGAGTGACATTTCAGGACAATGGGCAGCGCAAAAACTAGGCCAACTAAACTATTAGTTTCATCACGTGACAACACATAGTGAACATTACAGTATGCCAGTTAGATAAATAGCTACACTTACGACTCGGACTCGACTGTCTTTGGTCTCGGTCTCGACTACAACACTACACGGTAGAAGCACCAAATACCAAAGCCGGGCTGTCGTTGTCTTGCTGTATGGGGTAATCGATGTGTAAGGAGAAACTGTGGTATTGAACCATTTTCTAATTTCCATTTTTGGAGAGTTTTCATCTGTTTGCTTTGTTTTGAATGCAGGAAGCTCGCGCGGTCGCGCCAACTGAAAATCATTTCATTCAAGTATTAACGTGCGTGATTGGGGGGGCGGCAGGGGGGTTTCCTCACAGCGTCACACTGGTTTTTATGTTGGCTTTATTGTATTTTCAGCTAATGAGCCGTTTGTAGACATATATTTGTACTATTTCTCACTGAAATGTGAATTAAATTAAACTGATATTATTTTGTAAATTATATCATAATTCAATTTGGGGGGGCACAAAATACATTTGGGGGGGCCTTGCCCCCTAATGCCCCCCCATAGCGCCGGCACTGATTTCCGGTGAAGGATTAAGGATGCTCGATAACTTCCGCCGATCATAGAGTCCAATGCAATACCGAGAACTTATATTGAATTTTATACTCCATGGTTATACTAATGAAACGTTAGTCACAAAAACAGATAAAACAGACACCCCTCGTTGTGTTTATGCTTCTTTTTAAAATTATATTAAATAAACATAACTATATATAAAATTACATCTAAACGTATGTACGTTTCGTTTCAAAGACGGGAGGACAGTAAATATTGAAGACTCTGCCATAATCCAGTTTTCTCCGGTTTTCCTCCGCTTTAATCTACACAACCGGAAATGGACGAGCATCCTTACGTCAAATGCGGAACTTATGCGTGCATATAGCCCATTGTTGTAAAATAAAGGTCAAATAAAAAAATTAAATTGAACTCTGTTTGCATCATTGATCATTTTCCTGTTTAAATCATACACAGTAAATACAATTTACTTGTTGTTTTGTTTAAAAACTGTGTTGTAATAAATGTTAATATAGTGTATTTGTTAATACATGTTTATATTAAAGTTAATTTAAATAAGTAATAAAAAATCTTAATCTTTTTAAATGGTTGAATTTGTGTTTCACTGCCAGTTTCGGGGCCCACATCTGGCCTGGGGACCCAGCCGACTCTCAGCCAAATGTGTCTTACAGTGCCTGGGCCAGACCTAGCCACTATGACTATAGCTACCAATAAATAAGAGTCATTTTACAGGGTATGGGCCACATCCGGGACAGAGGAAGTTGTTTGAGTCCGTTTTCAGTGTGTTGGGCCGGGGACCCAGTCAGAACTGGACACCCAGAGGTGGGCCAGACTATTTTTGCTATCCTGCCGTATTATCATTAAAATGGCACATGAAACAATAAATGTACAACTTGTCAATAAAAAAAAAGAACTGCACGAAAGAATTCACTTACCGGCGCACTCAGAAAAAGCTTTCCGGCTTTAACTCCAAAACGGCATGACGTAAAGAAGAACTGTTTTCGCGGGTGTGGTCGGCATTACGTAATGTAACGTTACAGTGTTGACGAAATTTGATGTAGCCTACATGACGTGAGTGTTTTTCAATGAAATCTCAATGGTTCATCCGTCCCGCGTTTCCGGGTTCTCTCCTACTCAGTCTAAAAAAAGTAACAATAATAGTACACATTAGTCGCGGTTTAGAATAACAATAACAATATCGATGGTGTAAGTGAGTAAAATTCATCTCCTGACTGCGAGGCTTCATGTCAGAAAAGTGATCAGTACGGTCCAGTCTTGTTCTTTCAGTGAAGTCGACTAATTCACGCCTCTCCTGAACTAACTTCCTTCATTTTTATAAGACAGCCCAGAATGCTAGTTTAGTTGCCGGGGTTAGTTTTGTTTTCGATATGACGAAAGGAAAGGACCATCTCTCCAAAATAGCATCGCAGCATTGTAAACACGATCACACAGTGCTCAGCTCACTTATTCAGCACAGAAAGTGATATCCCAGCTAACTTCTCGTCGTCCTATTTTGAATCGATTCGTTTTAAACGGTCCTCCTCTATCATGTGTAGCTTTGGAAAGTCTGATTCATTCTAGAGAATCGTTCTTAATGAACAGATTCAACGATTCTTGTCCCAAAGCATTTCATGACTATTTAGTTCATCATGTCTAAATATTGCAGTTAAATATTCTACTAGTATTCTAGTTTTAACCAGCTATTATTATTATAAATAAACAAATGTATTTTCAACATTATTTCTGTTTAACAAACATTCATATTATTTTATTGGATAGCCTAATACTTGGACACATGTTTATTTCAGATAAAAACACACGATGTCTATGGTTGCAGTCAAAATAGAGTAAGTTTAAATCATTTTAGGTAAAATCACTTGATCTAATAGACGCTTCAAATAGCTTTCATTGCTGATCATGATTTATTTTATTATGATGAATGATAACAATTTTCTTTTCATTTAATCATTTATTCAAGAGATTCATACAAAAACACTCATTCGTCACACTCATTAATTTCAATTAAGTTTATGAGTGAATCATTTAAATATTCACAAACATACCTTTAAATAATTAATTCAAATAAAAAAAAATTATATATATATATATATATATATATATATATAATTGCATATAGGCCCGCAATGTACATTATTCTCTCTCTGTATCGAATCATGTTACCCACCCCAGCCCCTGATGTTTCGGGTTCAGCCCCTGATGTTTTTAAAACCTAGAAACGCCCAAACGAATAATATTATGTTTTAACTGTATATGTTGTTTAAATCAAAAACAAACTAATTGGTAGCCTAATATTAAAAAGCCAAATATATATATATATTTTAAATATATAAAAGGAAGCACCTGTGAAAAAAGTATACAGCTGTGTATATGGTACACTGCTGAAGTATTTAAAATATACAAAAAGTTTGCATACAATGATATATAACTTTATTGATAAAGGCAAGCAAATACATCTAAGAAATATATAGCAGTTACAGTAAAGTGAGATCTGTGTGTCTCTTTCTTCATTTTTTTTTGTATCAGAAAGAAATATAAACAAACCCTTACACAAAATATATTTTAAAAATCTGACACTGAAAGTATACAGAAGCTGAAATAATCATCAATATTATTTATGACAAAAACACCAGAGAAACAAAAAACGCACTTGAAAAACCTTCAAAGTTCAGTTTTCTGCTTTAGGTTTCAATACCTGAAAAAGATGAACATATAAATCAATAAATTAATGAATCTCACAGATATTTGCTAAATCATGACATAATGAATCCTGTACCTGATGCGGGAATATGTGCTTGATCTTGTTCAGCTCTTCTGGATCTGATGTCATAAACCAGAATGATGACAGTAGCCACGCCCACCAGAGCAGAGAGAACCAATCGGATCACAGTTTCAGTAGGACCACACCAGGAATAAACCTGAGGAAAGCCTGATAAATCTGAGGAATAAACACATCAAACTGAGATCAGATCAGTCAATAAACACTAACATCAACTAGTATGTCTGAATAAACAGAAATCTAATCAACAATCTTTTATTTGTTTCTGTGTAAGTGAGTTTTTATAACAGTCTGTCATCTCAAACTAGAAAATAATTCAACAATTCAATATGTAAATAGTTCAGCCCGATCTCATGAAAGTTCGTGTCTATGGCACGAATGTCATTTCTCGTGGCATTTATACGCCAAAAACAGTTTTTGCGTGTATTTGGCACGCGATTTTCGCGTACATATGATACGCACTTTTTTGCGTATAATACGCACAAACTCCCCACCCCCCTCCCCCCTAAACCTAACCCAGGGTTTTTTAGTGCGTACCATATACACGAAAAAAACACTTTTGGCGTATAAATGCCACGAGAAATGACACTCGTGGTATAGATACGCATCTTCATGAGACTCTGTTGCAGCCTGTGTTGAAATAGTTAAAGGAGAACTCTGGTGCAAAATGTACCTTTGGTCTAATAAAACATAGTCAATCGTTCTCTGAGATTTGTTTTCATGATAATCAAATCTAAAGAGTTTTATCTCTAAAAACTGTTTAGCGTATAATGCTACTACTGGGGGCATTGACAAAGTAAAAAGAAATCGCTAGTTTATACCACTAACAAGGCTCAAAATAGCCCCACACTAACACAGTAACATAATGAGGGTCCATACATGCAAAACGAAGCAATGAAACTAGCGATTTCTTTTTACTTAGTAAATGCCCCCAGTACTAGCATTATACGCTAAACAGTTTTTAGAGATAAAACTCTTTACATTCGATTATCATGAAAACAAATCTCAGAGAACGGTTGACTAGGTACCGATGTTTTGTTAGACCAAAGGTTCATTTTGCGCAGAAGTTCTCCTTTAATAAGATGGACAGGACAAATGATCTCTACCCACCATAGACAGAAACTCTGAATATTTTCGATGTGACAATTCTCCCTTCTGCATACATCAGTAGTTGATAATCTCCATCATGTTCAGTTGTGGTGTTTGTGATGGTCAGAGATCCAGTTTGATTGTCCAGCTTCAGTCGGTCTCTGAATCTCCCATCAAGAACATCATATAGAGTGACTCTGTCAAACCATTTATTGACGTCAGCTATTACAGTGTTTCCCAATCCAAACCTCCACTGAATCACATCATAACCCTTCATTTCAGTAAGATTCGACTTTAGAGAGACTGAATCTCCCGCCATCACTGACACTGACTCCACGTCGACTGTCAAACACACAGAGAACAAACACAAACAGATGAATACTGTTAGATAACTTTAGAAGGATTACTAAATTGAATAGTTTAAAATAGTTTAAAAACAATCAATATAAAATAACAAAAAACTAAATGGTAGCCTATATGAATTAATTTTAATTTTGTCTTTTAAAAACAGGTGTAAACGTTTTTGAACCCACCAATGACAGCGAGACAGAAACTCTTGATCACACTGTTGATCTGTTGGTGAAAACGTCCAGTCTGTTCAGTTGTGGTGTGTGTGATGGTCAGAGATCCAGTTTGTGTGTCCAGCTTCAGTCTGTCTCTGAATCTCCCATCAAGAACATCATATAGAGTGATGCTGTTGGCCCGTTTATTAATTTCAGCTATCAAAGTTTTTTTATTTCCAAACTTCCATTGAATCACATCATCAGCCTTCATTTCAGTAAGATTCGAGTTTAGAGTTGCTGAATCTCCCTCCATCACCGACACCAGGACTGAATCACCACACACACACACACACACACACACACACAGAGAAAGAAAGAGAGAGACAGGGTTGGCCACAGATTAAGACGGTCACTTGATTGATTAAAAAAAGTTTGAAATTTAAAATGTAAATGAATATCATCATTAAACACCAAAAGCAAAATGAAGTTTGAATTATTAATTATCTCTTTGTGTTGATTATAATATACAAAACTGAAATTTAACTCACCAATGACAAAGAGACTGAATCTCTCGATCTCACGGTTGATCTGTAGTTGATAATCTCCATCATGTTCAGTTGTGGTGTTTGTGATGGTCAGAGATCCAGTTTGATTGTCCAGCTTCAGTCGGTCTCTGAATCTCCCATCAAGAACATCATCATGTACAGTGTTTCTGTCGGCCCGTTTATTGACGTCAGCTATTACAGTGTTTCCAAACCTCCACTGAATCACATCATCATCCTTCATTTCAGTAAGATTCGAGTTTAGAGAGACTGAATCTCCCGCCATCAATGACACCATCAACACTGACACTGGCACTGGCACTGACTTCAACACTAACTCTCGCGTTGGCACCGGCTTTTTTTCATACCGTTTTTCTTCATATGCTGAATAACCAAACACACCTGAAGAACAGATTTTACAGATTAAAGCTTTAAAATCACTTGATGTTGGTTTCATGAAGCTTCACTAAAATACTTATTTAAATGTGAAATTAATGATATTCTGCAGATGAAACGATGAATGAAAAGAGAAATAGATTTATATGGAACAATAACAAAAATACACTAATACTATCTGAGCTTTATATTTAAATTATTTTATTTAATCAATAAATAAGTTAAGAGCTGAATTCAAACTTGATCTCATAGTAAAATCACAGTTCAATTATTTCTGTATGAGAATAACAGTGAATGTCGATCCTCTCTGACGAAATGAACCAGTAATTCATTACATGGTACCAGAACAGAAACAACTAAAGTCATAAAAACATTGAAACTCACCAACCAGACGCCAGAAACACAAACAGAACAAAACAGGGTGAAACATCTTCAACAGTTTCAGTCCACAAATATGAAGACAAACTCTACAAAACAGTAATTAAATGACAGACGCGCTGATATGAAGCTGCTCTGTAGTGAATTCACGAGAAACTCTACAATCAATCAAATCATCTTGAACAGTTTTAAGTGTTTTACTGATTACTTCACGTCATCTGAGCTTCACCAGATTGAGCTCCACGTCCACAAGATCTGATAGTGTTATTTGCACTATAGTGCCTCATAAAGTTGCATGGACTAGAGAAGTTAAAAACATCTTAAAGCAACAGTTTGATCTTGTCATGAGATTCTGCAAGTGTTTGGCTCTGCTCTCTCCGGTCGTTTGAAGACGTACTTCATTTCTTATTAATATGAAACACCTGACGAATACAGTCACATACAGTATTTTAGTCACATAAGATTTAAAAATCACTTGATGTTAGTTCTCCAAAAAAATAAATAAAATAAAATACTTAACAAACAAACTGATACACACAGCACTCAAAAACTGCAGAGGAAGCTGTTTATTCACAGATAACACTCGACAGATTTCTGCACGGATATACCAGTGGAAAACCATGGCCGGTTTCAACACGCACAAACTGAACTGATAACACTTTATTTAAGATTCAACATTTCAAAAATTACATTTAATATGCATTGTATGTATTTTTTTCATCAATTTTATGACAGCATTAAGCAAAATCATACAGTACAATAATAAATTATGTTATTAAAAAAATATTTATGAATTATTGTAATTTTGGTGTTATTTTTTTCTTTGGATGTTTCTTTTCAAAATGTCTTTTCTCTTTACCTTAAAATAAAAATAAACACCAAATGCGCATATTTTGCTTTTCCTAAATTATAGGGAGCACTTTATATTTAGTGCCCTTCACTATAAAAAACAACACTTCTTTTAATACTTAGTATACTAGCCTGTGTAGGGACTAATTATATGATTTGTGATATTAAAGTGCACTTTATTTGTGTTCATTTATGATTGTCTTTGAAACATACAATCAATATCCCTAAGAGAAAAGAAATAGATTTAAACTGTACTAAGTGCATATTAAATGTATTATTTTGAACTTCAAGCATTTGCACTATATTTTAATATATTAAAGGTCATGTTGCAGGTTAACTGTTGCCCCCTTGGACAATAACGACGACAATCAGTTCTTTTCTGTAGATTTATTTGCTCCGGTTGTTTTCTCTTTTGTTTCTGTGACAGATTTTTGAGCTCAATTTTTACATGAACAACAACATGCGTGAACTGCGCTTTTTTTTACACTTCTTCTCTCTCTTTTTCGAACCGGTCTTCTCCACCCACAGCGCCCCCAACAGTATACATATTTTCTGAGGCTTTCTACATTTATACTGTTAACATTATATTAGTACAGATTATGTACAATAAACAAAAAAACAAATTTAACAATTATTTGCGGTCATTACACCCTCCCCCACTAAAAAAAAATAAAATGTTACAAAACATTTTTAATTTACTATCTCCGGGCAAATATTGAAAATGTAAGTTCCAATAACAGTGTAATGTACATGCTTTCTCACAGCTTAACAACATATTTTACTTCCAAACTACTTTGACATAATTGCAATTATCTAAACTTTTAGATCTGATGCATGTTGAAAAGGTGTCTTGTCTTTAGGTTCGCTGGTGGGCCCCCCAGAACGTCCTGTAATGACAAGTGGACACAACCACATACACCTCCACAATGTATTTAACACATTTTAAATGTCAATTCAGCAATGCATTAATTTCTTAATGTTTTCTCAGTCTACCCAATATTCCTTAGACTGCACAACCTATTACTCTACTGTAGCCTATTGCATTTTTTTTTTCGACTGTAGACTTACAATACCCATAACTGTTTATAACTCACTTAACAAAAATATTTTACCTTGAACATAACTATTTCAACTCTCACTAATATTACTTAATATGAAGGATACAGATTAGCTCACTGGTCTAAGTGTGGGCTCACCCAGGGTGTCATATGTGTATAGATTCCTAGGTCGCCTGGTTCTGGCAGAACTTCTCCTCATAAGTTCTAATGTCACGTCACAATCTTCATGCCTCATAGGTTCTGATGCCTCATCACTATCCTCATGCTGGGCTTCTCCAATGAATCCTTCCTCCAACTCCTGCTCCCTTTGAAGATCTCCCAGCACTTCTTCATCGGATTTCTCTGAGTCAGGTAGGTTTACGGATTCGTCACCAATTTCTTCGATGTCAAGTTCCTTTTCAGGTTTCCTGTTTCTCTCCTCTCTTCCAGGGTGAAATTCTGCCGCACATGGATCTAATTCTGTTCCTGTTCTCCGTATTGGAATCCACAAGTCAACCTCCTCGTCACTGGAACTGTCAGTGTTTCCATGGTGAGTATTTTGTGGTGATTGTCCTTCCTGTTTTGATCTGTTCCTCTGACATCCTTTTCTTTCCAAACGAACATCGGCTGTTCTCGGCTCATCCACCAGATACGGACAAGGTAATAGAAGGTTCCGGTGCAACACTCTATCCTTTCCTGTCGTATCCAATGGTCCAACAACGTACACCGGTCCATCTCCTCCTCTCCTTTCCTTCACCACATACGTTTGTTTTTCCCAGAACGCTCGCAGTTTTCCTGGGCCTCCTCTTTCTGACAGGTTCCTCACCAACACATGATCACCGGGCTCCAAGACAGAACTCCATGCCTTCCGATTGTAATTTCTCTGCCCCTTTGCAGCAGCCTTCTTCATGTTCTTCTTTGCGATATCATATGCTTCTTGCATAGACCTTTTCCACTTTTCAGCATAGTCGGCATGAGACTGGGTGTCCTTTACTTGCTTTGTGGGGAACACAAGATCAATTGGAAGAACTGGCTCTCGTCCAAAAAGAAGAAAGAATGGGGAAAATCCTGTTGACTCATGCACCGTGGAATTATAGGCGTGGACAACTTTGTTAAGGTGTTCTGCCCAATTCGACTTCTTCGTCTCCTCTAAGGTCCTCAGCATCCCCAACAGTGTCCTATTGAACCTCTCTGCTGGGTTAGCTTGGGGATGGTAGGGGGTTGTACGTGAATGCCTAATCCCACAATAACTCTGTAGCTTCTGGAACAGGCTGTTCTCAAACTCCCTCCCCTGATCATGATGGATCTTTGCGGGGAAACCATAACGCATGATGAAGTCTTCAAAGATCTTCCGGGCTGCTGTCTTTCCAGACTTGTTTCTAGTGGCGTATGCCTGAGCAAACTTTGAAAAATGGTCTATGACCACCAGAATGTACTCTGCTCCCCCTCTACTCTTCTCCAGGTGCAGGTAATCAATCGAGATCATCTCAAATGGAGCTGTTGTCTCAATGCTCTTGATTGGGGTTCTGGTAATCCGGTTTGGTTTCTTTTGTCTTAGACATCGACACACTCTTGTGACATAATGCTCTATCTCCTCTCTCATTCTTGGCCAGAAGAAACGTGCACGAGCTGCTGCCACCATACGTTCAGCACCCAGGTGGGCCATGTCTTCATGCAGGTACTTGTATATCATACTTTTCAAGTTTTCTGGGACAACTAACTGAGTTCTGGTCATTATCTTCCTTTGCAGGATACCTTCCTCATTAATCTGCAGGCGATGCCATTCTCGCAAGAGTCGTCTCACAGGTTCTGGTTCCATCAATTTGTCTTTGTGTTTGAGATAAATTTGTTTCTGTTTCAGATCCAGTACTCGGCTGATGACTGGATCACTCAGCTGAGCACTCCTGATATCCTGAGATGTTAGCCGCTGACTGTCCTCTGATCCACCCTTCAGCTCTTCCGGTAAGACATCTATGTTGCAGGTGATTGCAGATATCCAGTCCACTTCTCCACGTCGTTGTGCTTTCAGAACTTCCCCGATTGATCCCAGAACTTCCGGCTCACACTCCTGAGTACATTCTCTGACTGTGACTTCAATGGGCACTGGTCTCCGTGATAAGAAGTCTGCATCTCGATTTGCCGTCCCTGGTCTATACTTCAGAGTGAAACGGTAGTCTGCCAGCTCAGAAACCCACCGTTGCCCCGCTGCGTTAAGCTTTGCCGTTTTCATGACATATGTCAACGGGTTGTTATCACTGTAGACAACGAAATGCGGTGCATGAAACAGGTAATCCCGGAAACGCTCTGTGATCGCCCATTTGAGTCCCAGGAACTCCAACTTCCCAGAATGCAGCTTGTAGTTCCTTTCGGCCGGGCTCAAAGTCCGAGATCCATATCCAACTACGCGGAGTTTACCTCCCTGTCGTTGATACAATACAGCTCCTAGCCCTTCTTCTGACGCATCGACATGAAGGACAAATGGCTTTTCAAAGTCTGGATATGCCATAATGGGTGGGCTTGACAACTCTGTAATCAGCTTCTCCAGCGCTTCCTGATGTCTCCCTGTCCACTCCACTGGCTGTGATGGAGGTGCTTGCGAGGAGTTCCCTCTTTTT